AGTTTGGGCAAAGGAAGGAGAATTTCCCCAAAAGGGAACAGAGGAAGGCATTTCAAGCAGACAAAAACAATCAGCATCTCCCTCAGACAGGAAGAGGTCAAGGTGAGGGAAAAGGCCCTAGGAGGAGATGAAGGGTGCCCCCAGAGCCAAAGGGAAGGTGGGGAAGGGCATGAAGGGTGAGAGAGTACAGGAAGCATGGGGGTGGAGGGACAACTCCTTCAAGGAGATCTGCAGTGGAGCAAAAACAGGAGGAAGGCAATAGCTGGAGGGGGTCATGAGGCCAAGAAAATTCATTTTTAGGTGAGACCTGAGTTTATCTCTATGCAGAGAGGAAAGGCAGGAACAGTGAGAATGGGTGTAGATATAAGAGTGAGGGGTAATTGTATTAGTTATCTATTGCTACATAGCAAACGATTCCAAAATCCTGCAGCTTAAAACGACAAGTATTTATTATCTCATGCACTTTCCAAGTGTCAGAAATCCAAGAGCAGTTTAGCTGGGCAGTTCTTCGCCAAGGACTGTCTTGAGGTTTGCATTCATCTTCTAGGACTGCCGTAACAAAATGCCACAGAACAAGCAGCTTAAACAACAGATATTTATGGCAGGGTTGGTTTTTTTCCAAGGCGTCTCTCCTTGGCTTACAGACAGCTGCCCTCTCACTGCTTTGTCCTCATATGGTCGTCCCTCTACTCACACACACCTCTGGTGTCTCTCCCTCTTTCCACAAGGACATCAGTCTTGTTGGATTAGGCCCCACCCTAATAGCTTTGATTTAACTTCATCACCTCTTTAAGGGCCTCCTCTTCAAATAGAGTTCAATTCTGAGGGACTGGCGGTTAGGACTTCAGCATATGAATGGGGGGAGGGGTGCACAATTTAGCCTGTAACAGTCAGGATGTTGGCTGGAGCTGTGGGCATCTATGACCTTGACCAGGGCCGGAAGATCTGCTTCCAAGGTTACTGGCTATTTTTGACTGGAGACCCAGCTCCTCCCCACATGGGCCCATCCCTAGGGCTGCTTGTCCTCATGACATGGCAGCAAGGTTCCCCAAGCTGAGCAGTCTTAGAGAGACCAAGGGAGAAGCCACAAAGTCTTTTATGAACTGGTCTCAGAAGCTTCACCCCATCCCTTCACCTTATTCTATTTGTTAGAAGTGAGTCACTAAGTTCACACTCAAGGACAGGAGAATGAGTCTCCATCTTTTTTTAAAAAACATTTTTATTTATTTATTTATTTGTCAGAGAGAGAGCACAAGCAGGGGGAGCAGCAGGCAGAGGGAGAAGCAGGCTCCCCACTAAGCAAGGAGCCCCATGTGGGACTCGATCCCAGGACCCTCGGATCATGACCTGAGCCAAACGCAGATGCTTAACTGACTGAACCACCCAGGCATCCCGAGTCTCCATCTTTTGAAGGGAAGAGTGTTAAAGAATTTGTGGACATATATTAACCACTACAGTATTTGATAAAGCAAAAGCCCCCAATGGAGGAGGCCAAAGAAGGCAGGGCTGGAAGGGTTAATGGGGGCCTTCAGGGCATCCCTTCCCCTGGGCAGTCCCCTATGTGCTCACAGGTAGAAGGAAAGGAGTAGGCAGAGCTGGAGGCTGAGGGCATTTCTCTTTTTTCAGTGATGCAGATCAAGGTTTTCTGCAGAGTGAGTAGTGGGAGAGAGTTTTGAAATGGGGGCGGGGGGTTGCAGAAAGAGCTGACCAGGGCCCATGGGAGGGTCTCGGGCATTTCTAAAGTCCTAGAAGAGGTACAGGCCATGAAACTGCCCTGGCCTTCTTTGAGGTGGTGTGACACGTCCCTGGTGTGCTTGGCTCAGGGCTGGGACTTTGCAAGGTGAGAGCAGGAGTCCTACTTCCCTGGAGTATGGTAGACCAGAGAGGTGCATGTGTCATGCAGTTTATTGTACTTTATATTTGTATTATGTTTATAGGTATTATAAAACCACTTTGTTCCAAAAAAAGATGTAAGGCACTGTCCAGACTGGCTGGGAAGGAAATGAAGCTAGGATGCAGGCTGACAGACCGGGAGAAACAAAGGGGCCAAGGGGTCATAATGAAGCAAAGGAACGGTTCCTCATGGGGGAGGGCATGGTGCTGGGCTGGGGTGTGACCGGAGACATGGCTTCTGAGGTGGAGCAATTCTGGGACATGAGAAGACCAGGGCCAGTGGCGGGGAAGTGGACGTCACTGGAATCTGGGAGTCAGAGGAGTGGGAGTCCAGGATGGGCAGGGCGGTACCTTGGGGCGCATCCTGGTGTCTGGAGAGGGATGATGTGATGTACATGGAGGTCAGATGCCATGGGTGAGGGGGCAGAGGGCAACAGAGCCAGAGCCCATGGGTGGGCCTCAAATTTCTACCTGGGGCGGGGAAGCAAGGAGCCAGAGCAGCAGTGGGGAGCCAGAGGCAGGGCGGTGTCCCTCTGCGTCTTTGCCACCCATCTCTCCCTGGTTATATGAGGCGGGGAGATGGACCAGCCTCCCTTGGGAGAACTGCTGGGAGCCAGGATTCAGGTGACTGTTTCTTTGCCTTTTTCTTTTTTAAGATTTTATTTATTTATTTGACAAAGAGAGACACAGCGAGAGAGGGAACACAAGCAGGGGGAGTGGGAGAGGGAGAAGCAGGCTTCCCGTGAGCAGGGAGCCCGATGTGGGGCTCGATCCCAGGACCCGAAGGCAGTCGCTTAACGACTGAGCCACTCAGGCACCCCATCTTCACACTTTTATACAGACCCTTAAACTTTCCCAAAGCAGAGGCAGCAGGGCCAGGTGCATGGATTTTGGAGTTGGGCAGAAGAATCCCCTTCTCCTCTGACCAGTTGAATAGTTTGGGCAAAGTCTATTTATTGGCCTCTGTTGTTCCACCCATAAAATGGGGATAGCAGCATCTCCTCCTGGAACAGTGTCTGCTCCATGGGAAATCCTCTCCTGAGGGCAGCTGCTAGTTATTGGATTGTCAAGGTTTCTACCACCTAAATGGGAATAAACAGATTCCAAAGCTTTGCCTGACTGGCTCCACCTTAGCTGCAGGTGTCACCTGGGCGGGTCACCTGGGCCTACTTCTCCATGAGAAAGGAGTGGAAATGTGGCCTCAAGTGTCAGCAGCCTCATGCCTGGGAACGGTAATCCCTCAGGATCCTCAGGAGTGCTTGCCCAGGAAGCGGGGAAGGGCATCCCAGAGAAGGGCTGGAGGCACAAGCAAACATTCCATGAGTGCTTCCTGTGTGTCTCTGACCTCACAGAGACCCTGCAAAACTCCAGCCATTTCATTTTCAGGAAAGAGCATGCTACATCACTTGCAGGACCTGCTTCAGCTCTCGCAGCTGGTAGATGGCAAGCCACACTTTCCAGTCCCTGCACCCCCCACCCCCATGCCCGCCACCTCCCCAGGTCCCTGTGGGGACACGCTCCCATGGGGTCAGTGCAGGGCGGGGAAGCCAAGGGCCCTGAGCACCAGTGGGAAGGTTGGGCTGCAGTGCCCCCGAGGACACCTTTCTTAGATTCTCAGCTTCTGTTTACCCCCAAACATCCCAGCCCAGGAGAACAGGGACAGGACCAGGACAGGAGGTACCATGCTCCTTTGGGGTTAGAGAGAAAAATGTAAGCTCAGACCTTACAAAGGAATCTACAATCTGATTTTGACCTTTGCACTGTAGGTGCTCAACAAATGTGGAAGACTTAGATTGTCATTAAACATATAAATGCCCATACACTAAATTCAAATTGGAATAAGAAAATTCTTTGTCCACCAGAACAGAGTAGCAAAAGGCTCTTTGTCATGTTCACCTGCTGCTTACAGCCGTACTTTTCTCTTACCTCCCCACTCACTCTGCTCAGCCCAAACACGCTGACCCCAACATCATTTGCACTTTTCCCTCTGACTTCGCTACAGTTGCACCATCCTTTGAGAAGGTCCTCCCTTCCTTCCACTGTGAGTTCTTACTCATGTTTTTTTTTTTTTAAGATTTTATTTATTTATTTATTAGAGAGCGAGCGAGAGAGAAACAGCATGAGAGAGGAGAGGGTCAGAGGGAGAAGCAGGCTCCCCGCTGAGCCGGGAGCCCGATGTGGGACTCGATCCCAGGACCCTAGGATCATGACCTGAGCCGAAGGCAGTCGCTTAACCACTGAGCCACCCAGGCGCCCCCTTACTCATGTTTTGAAGTCAGTGTCAAAGCCTCTCCAAGGGCATCATTCACAGTTTCATGAACAAGTATTTCCTGGGGGCAGGCCTGTGCTAGATGCAGGGAGCTCAGTGATGAACGAAACAGAGCCAGCACACCTCACACTGCTCGCTACAGAGGAGGTAAAGTGCCTGGGCTCCAGGTCAGGATAGCTGCAGCCAGGGCCCCCCGACCTCCCTCCCCAGCCTGATGCAGCTAATCAGGCTTGCTAGAGTGCCCCCAAACCTCACGGGAGGCAGCCAGGTGCTAGGGGCAGGTTTGAAAGGAGGCAGTTCAGGGTTGGATTCCCAGCTGTGCTGCTAACTAACCGGCTCACCCGCCCTCTGTGGGGTCCCATGTAAGAAATGGGGGAAGACCTGTGTTTGGGGTGCTATGAGGTTCAGATAAAGGACATCACATGTCTCTAGCTACACTGGCTGTTTACCTCAGCATTCCCCATGGTGTGTGGGTGATGACTGGTTTTCATGGATGTCTGAGCAGATAAAATTTATGCTTCTGGATGACAGGGACTGGGTCTTAAGTATGTTCAAAACCACCCACACTCCCTATGTCAAGCCCAGTACTGAGTGCAAAATATATGATCAGTAAAGATGAAATAAGATGGAAGAAACTGAGAAAGCACCTTCTCACACTTGGATGGGACTGTGACTTATTCACCCATGTATTCAAGAGTCATCACTTCTTGAGCCCAGTGCTCAGGGACATGCTGACACACTCGTGGCCCCTGCCCTCCGGGGGCTCCAAGGCAGGGCCATGAGGACTGACATTCTGCTTTCTCTCTGCACGCAGGCTGGGAAGAGCTGCTGCCGCAAGATGTCGACCTTCCGGCTGGTAAGAATCGCACCTATCCCACCTAGGGTTTATCTGGAAAGTTACTAAAGGCTAAGTCAAGTCATTCAGTGAGAGGCAATGAGGGCCTACAAGGAAAACACCCGAGGCAAGGGAGCACAAAGAACAAGACAGATTACATTGGGAGCACAAGGAACAAGACAGATTACATGGGGAGCACAAGGAACAAGACAGATTACGATACCTAAGAAAATGAGTTTGGCCAAGCTCTGGGCCTGGGCAGGCGGCCGCACTTGTGCTGTGATCCCTCACTTAGACCTAGGGCTCAGATGCCTTGACAAAGGGATTGCTCTTGTCTTGTCTCATTGCACCAGTTGCAAGGAGCTTACTTAGAGTGGATGGAAATCAAATACTGGGCCCGATGTCCACTTCGGGCTCTGCACCATCTTCCATCAGCTCAGCAGACATATAAGGGCCTGCTCTATCACCGTGGCCAAGAGATGGCTCCATGTGGGAGCAAATGCTGAGACCCTGCCCTGCACTGGGGTTAGGGTGGGGGACACAGGCCTCCAGGCAGCTGGGGTGGTGCATGCAGGACAAGAGAACTTGAGGGCCCAGAGGAGAGCCCCCACCCCAACCCACCCTGAATTCCAGCCCAAACCCGGGAAAGCCAGATGGTGGAAATTCCTTTTTGATAAGAAAATGCCCCAAATATTCTTCTTCTGCATGCAAAGCCACAAAGTGGCCATTGTTTCCTCCAGCTGCTGGATCCACACTGCTGAATGGGGGCAGCATCCCCCAGCAACCAAGGGCTCCTGAAACCAAGCCCTCCAACTATCTGAGTTAAAGAACGGTGGCTAGGGTTGTTTTTTTTTTTTCGGAATAGAGATAGGCCGATTTAGGCTGGAGAGAGAACACACATGGTCTCAAAATTCAAATTGCAAGGACTTTTGGTAATCACAAACATTAGAACTTGGCACCATTTTGGAGCATGAGGAGCACGAGTTGTAAGGCAAAGCCAGGCTTATTTCACAAAGGGATACACTCATGGGAGGCATTAGTCCCAAGTGTCCCACTGGGAACATGACTAATTTCAAGCAGAGTTCAGAAAATAACTCTTGGAGGCATATTATTTTCAGTTGCCATTGTGGGCCTGTTCTGTCTTCTAAGATTGCAAGGTCCTTGGAAAGAGGGTGATAATCTGATTCAACAGTGATCCCTTCAGAGGGTCCAATGACTCCTGACTGAGCTTATTCCTGACATATCATCCATCTGTGCTACTCCGTGCTGGGCACTAGTCAGGCTCCTGACCCATGTTACATTCCGTCTTCACAACAGCCCAGTGACGCTGCCCTGTTCAACAGATGAAGAAACTGATGCTCAGAAAGGTTAAGTGACTTGCCCAAGGCCATATAGCTCATGGAATGTAGAGTAGGGATGAGAACCTAGGTCTGTCTGACTTCAAAGGGGTTCTTAGTCTGCTCTGCAAAACCATGCCATAACAAAATACCATAACACATACCACAGACTGGGCCGCTTAAACAGCACAAATTTCTTCCCTCACAGTCTTGGAGACTCTTGGAGTCCAATATCGAGGTGCCAGCAGGGTTAGTGTCTGGTGAGACCTCTCTTTCTGCCTTGTAGACAGCCACCTTCTCCCATGGGCTTCCTTCTTTGCACACACACACACACCTCTCTCTGATGTCTCTTCCTCTCCTAGAGACACCAGTCCTACCAGATTGGGGCTGTACCTCTTTGACCTCATTTAACCTTAATTACCTTTTTAAAGGCCCTATCTCCAAATACAGTTACATTGGGGGATAGAGCTTTGACATATGAATTTGGGGAGGACACAATTCCGTCTACTTTAATGTTTGCTTTAATCTCTATTGTTAAGAAAATGCAAACATATTGAATAACTACATCATGGAAAAAGTCTATTTTTTTGAAAGCAATTAGCAGCAGACCCCTTTCCCCCCGGCACCCCCTCCACCACCCGCCAACTGGCCCCAGGTTTGTAAACTCTTCTAATATAATTAAAATAGGGTTTGAGTTGGGAGAAATTTGATTTTCACACTTCAGAAGTATAGCCAGGCCAGGAGTGAGGTGGGGGTTTCCCCAGCAGCAGCTGAGGGTTCCTTTCTCAAAGAAACTGGCTAACTTGCTGCTCTGGAAAATTCTGCCAGTTGCTTGCTGTGTGACCTTGGCCAAGCTTTCCGTTCTCTAGACCTTAGTTTTACCATCTGTCAGATGAACGTGGGGCTGCCCGAGACTTCTTGAGTGCCCTTTGTGACCTGATGATCCTTCCCAAGGGTGGGGAGACACAGCTACAGCTTCTGAGGTACGAAGACCACACCTGTTGCCCCGGTCAGCTGACACCCAGTCCTCCAGTCTTCCTCCAACCTGCTTCAACCGCCTCCTCCTGCCCCCTCAGGCTACCTCTTGGAGCCAGACTGGCCATGGTTCAAATCCCAACACTACCACTTCCATCTCTGTGGTGAGATAGGAATGATGACACCATTGTTGGGAGGGTTACACTGGGTCATTGGAAGCCACATATAATCCCAAACTTTGATAACAACTTTAGGACCGCTAGATGTTCTGAATGTGTACAGTGGGGGAGAGTGGTCTAGGCAAAGGAAACAGCATGCAAAGGCCCAGAGGGAACCAGGTCATGGTGCATCTGGGAAAGTACTGGGAGCAGATTGGTGTCAGGGCTACATCTGCTCTGTCCACAGTGGTGGCATGAGCCCCAGGTTGTACTGAGTGCTGCAAATGTGTCTGCTCCAAACCGGGATGTGCTGTAAGTTGAAAGCACATGCCAGATCCAAGGATTCAGCATGAACAAAGAATGTAAAACATCTCCTTAACAATTTTTACATTGCTTACCCATTTAAATGATAATCTTTTGAATCTATTGGGTTAAATAACAACATTCATAAAATTAATTTCACCCGTTTCTCTTTACATTTTAAATGTGGCCCCTTGACCATTTTCAATTTCATGTGTGGTTTGAACCCTGTTACTAATGGAAGCTCCGGCCTGGACCACACAGTAAGGATTTACAAATTATGCATTGTATACAGCATCCCTTTCTGGCAGCTGAGGGGATAGGATGAGTGGATTGGGCTGGATCACTTGCCCCACCCCTGAGGTGGAAGAGATGGTACTCTCCAAGAACCCCATGAATTGGGGAGAGAGGAGTCCTCAAACAAAAATTGAAGACTTTTAAAGAAGATGATTTGATCTTGCATTGCCAATGTATTGTTTCAACCATTAGCTTTTCCCTGATTTTGGCTTTGGGGATCCTATCATGTGGTAGCTGACTTAAGGAAGAACATGCAAATAGACCTCTCTTTGCCATGATCACCAGCTTCTCTACCCCCTACCCTATGGACAAGTGAGAAAACCCAGAACCTGGTGCTGCCACACATTCTGAACCACCCCAAGACCTTGGGCAGAGCATGGTCTTCAGTCACATTAATGAAACCCCATCTTCCTTCCAAATGAAACTATGAATGTTTACATACCTATGGGCAGAGGGGCTGGAAACCCTTCAATACACAATACTGGTTGGAAATATTTTGAAATTCAAAGCACCTCTCTGTTAGATTGGCCCAGTCCCAATGCATGAAGCCATAAACATTTGTTTGCTTGATGGTAGGTAAAGGATCATACCTTGTCCTCAACCATACTTTATCAGATGGGGAGGTGGCACAATGACCAGGTACTGGGAGGCATTCCTGGGAAAAACAGGTCTTTGGCACCAGCAGCAACCATGCCATCTGTCCCTGCAGAAGGGACAGGCTTCTGTGGATCTACTGATGGACCTGCACTGGAACTTAGACCAGAGACCTGCTGCTGGAGAGCCCTCGATGACCCATCTGACTCTCCATTTATCTAAGTACATGCAGACACAGACCATTTCTAGGGCCACCTCTTCCACTATGGGAAGAGAAAGACATCACAGGTGGGCAGCCAGTATCAGGGCACGGTGCCTATTTCGGCAAGTAGGCCAACAGTCCACCCTTTTTGGGAGACATTAGTGTGAAGGACCAGGTCTCCAGGAACCAGGTTGTTCATGGCTTTGGGTCTTTGAGCTTCCTTGCAGTAATTTCGGTCTCAGGCTGGGGCACGCCCACCTTCTCTCCAGCAAGAGCTCTTCCTGCAGCTAGTTGTCAGGTATTTCCCACCATGAAGAACAGCGAGGGCTCTGAGGACTCCGAGGATCTCCCCGCTCCCTGCAACTCCTCCTCTGTTTCTTAAATCTCAGTAGAGACTCTGACTTTCTTTGCAGCTGATAGCTGCTGCTAGTTCTCTTCTCCTTCATTCTTTTCCTGATTTGGCTGCTCTTGCACAGGTTTTCCTGCTGATAGTGGTCACGAAGAAGCTCTATTTTCTGCCACCTGGTTTCTCAGTTGTTTCCTAGGAGAGCTTTGGCCAAATAGAGGGAACAAAAGTCACATTCTTTGATTCTTCTTCCAGCCCGGGTCGGGCTCATGCCTCCTCACTAAGTCTGGCTCAGAAATGGTGTCTCTCCTTTTCATCTCTGGTTAATGTCAAGTTTGCTGTGAGATGCCCATCGTCTACCTTTGACTTTTCATCTTCTCGCTGTGGTGAGATACCAGCCATTTCAGCTGCTCACTGCAATTCCATCGTCATTGTAAGAAAGCTTCTCCTGGGTCTCTGGGGTTTCTGATGTGATTTGATTAGTTCACTTAGCCCAGTACATTGCTCATGCTGGTTTTCTGTATCCTACAGCAACTGTTCCTTGCTTTAATTTAGTTTTCATTTTAAATGGTATGACACACCATTTAAAGAATCAGCCCCCTACTTCCTTTTCCTCAGAAGTGACCACTATCAAACCTTCCAGTTGGTTCTTTGATATTTCCCTCCATGTTTAGAAAGAACATGCTTGCAGTGCTATTTGAGTTTTTGGCTTCAGGCATCATCTATTACTGACTTCCCACCATGTAAGAAAGGCCTTAGCTCCTTGAGCCTACCCCCATCCTGGGCACTCAGAAGTATACTACCTGTGTCTCTGTCCTCCCCAAATTGTTAAACCTAGCTTTGATCAGATTTGTATACAGGGTTTACTTATTTTATCTAAGTAAATGCTACTCCCAGTTGAGCCAGCGGTGTACTCCTAGCACTGTGCTTTCCTTTGCTAGTGTTTATCATTGTCTTTTCTCCACCTGTTTAGTTTTCTGTGTATTTATCATGCCTTTAACCCCCAGCTTTCTCCCACATATGTCAGTCTACTCTCAAAATGTTCTGATTCATAGGGAGTTCAGCCAGTCTCATCCTCAGAAGGAAATCTCTCCCAGAGTTGCTGACTTGCAATACCTCAACTATATCTTCTACTTCTGAGGCACACATTGTTTAAAATTTATTTTATTTTATTATGTTATGTTAGTCACCATACATTACATCATTAGTTTTTGAAGTAGTGTTCCATGATTCATTGTTTGCATATAACACCCAGTGCTCCATGCAGCTAACCCATCCCTCCACCCCCCTTTCTCTCTAAAACCCTGTTTGTCTCTCAGAGTCCATAGTCTCTCATGGTTCATCTCTCCCTCCAATTCCCCCCCCCATTTTTCCCTTCCTTCTCTTAATGTCCCCCATGCTATTCCTTATGTTCCACAAATAAGTGAAACCATATGATAATTGACTTTCTCTGCTTGACTTATTTCACTTAGCATAATCTCCTCCAGTCCCATCCATGTTGATGCAAAATTTGGGTATTCATCCTTTCTGATGGCTGAGTAATATTCCATTGTATATATGGACATCTTCTTTATCCATTCGTCTGTTGAAGGGCATCTCAGCTCTTTCCACAGTTTGGCTATTGTGGACATTGCTGCTATAAACATTGGGGTGCATGTGTCCCTTCTTTTCACTACATCTGTGTCTTTGGGGTAAATACCCAGTAGTGCAATTGCTGGGTCATAGGGTAGCTCTATTTTTAATTTTTTGAGGAACCTCCTCACTGTTTTCCAAAGTGACTGTACCAACTTGCATTCCCACAAACAGTGTAAGAGGGTTCCCCTTTCACCACAACCTCTCCAACATTTGTTATTTCTTGCTGAGGCATACATCTTGACATCATCTTGGGGTTTCCTTCACAGCCACCCTGAATATGCCTTTTGCCTCTCCTTTATACTGAATCCCTTTTCCTGGAACCGAGGTCTTTCTCTTGGTTTACTCCCTCATTTTGATCTAGCAGATCCTATAATACCTTGCTGAGAAAGGGCACATAGGAAGTAAATGTTTTTTAACAACTTTCATGTCTAATTTATGCTTGATCAAGTGTGAATGTCAGCTGGGCATAGGGTTCCATTACTGGATAGAATTTTCCCTGAGAATTGTGAAGATGTCTATTCCACGTTGTCTTCTGGCTTCCAGCATTGCTGTTGAGAAGTCTGATACCATTCTAATTTTTAAGCCTTTGTATAAAACTTATTTTTCTCTCTGAAAGCTTTCATGATTTTCTCTTTGTCCCAAGTATTTTGAAACTTCATGATCATGTGTGTTGGTGTGAATCTATTTTCATTCCTTGTACTATCCACTGAAGTTTGTTCCCCAATTTTTTTTTCCAGAAGGCTAATGGGAATAATATTACATCTTCAAAAATGCTTGTTACCTTTATATTCCGGTGAATGACAATTTGGGTAAAAAATTATTTGATTTCTTTTTCTTTTTTTTCCATTGTGGTAAAAAACACACAACATTAAATTTACCGTCTTAACAAATTTTTTTTTTAAGATTTTATTTGTTCATTTGACAGAGAGAGAGCACAAGTAGGCAGAGAGGCAGGCAGAGGGAGAGGGAGAAGCAGGCTCTCTGCTGAGCAGGGAACCCGATGCAGGGCTCGATCCCAGGACCCCAGGATCATGACCTGAGCCGAAGGCAGACGCTTAACGACTGAGCCACCCAGGCACCCCCGTCTTAACAATTTTTAAGCATACAGTTCGGTATTAAGTATATTCACATTGTTGTGAACGGATCTGAGAACTTTTTATCTTGCAAACTTGGAATTCGGTGCTCATTAAACACTGTTTTCCCTTCCTTCTCCAGCCTTTGGCAACCACCTTTCTACCTTCTGTTTCTATGATTTTAACTACTTTAGGTACTTTTTTTTTACATGCTGTATGATTCCATTTATATAACATTTAAAAATAAATAAAACTATTCTATGGTGTTAAAAGTCACAGTAATGGCTACATTGGAGGAGGAGAAAGGGTGAGGCAGAGCAACTGGGAAGGAAGAGGTGGGGAACCTCTGGGATGCTGGTTATGCTCTATTTTTTTACCTTGATGACAATAATTGTGATAATTCCTCAAGCTGTATTCTTATGATGTGTGCGCTTTTCTCTTATATGTATGACATTTAAAAGACTTTTCAAACCTTTAGTATGTTAATTTTTGTATATTTTTATTATCAACTTTCTTACTCACCTTTTGACAAATGGACCACCCAGGTTGATTTAACTTGATAAACTAAAAGGTAAAACTTCTGAACCTTCCCTTTCCTTTTCCATAACAATTTTTGTAGTATTGGAAGAGGAAAACTTGAAGACAAAAACAAGTGGACAGGAAACTGAGCCCTTTTTTCCTTTTGGTCCTATTGACCCTTAAGATTTTAAGTAACTGAGAAGAGCTGGGATTTGTACCAGAGTCATCCAAGCTAACCATCGTGGTAGATAGGGAGGAATTTTTTTGGATACTGATTAATACTGCATCAGGGTTCCAGTCTAAGCACATCTCTTCCATTAACAGCCGTAGGGTACCTTTTTGAAAAGAGGACTCAGAAAGTTGATTAACTTGGCGGAATCCAAAGCAAAACATCAGAACTTTTGCTTTTCCATTTTCCTATGAATTTCTCTTGATCTTTAGCGGCACCTAAACTGGCACCATCCTCTAGCATCTTCTTGCACCCTAAAGATGGGAACGCCCCCTCTAAATAGAAGGCAGAGAAGTTTGAGCATAGAACACTCTGCAGAAGCCCTCTCTGATGCACTAAGCCCTGAGGGTATCAATGCATATCCCTACTTTAGATACTTCTTATGAGTGAAATAATGCAGCATTTGTCCTTTTGTGACTGGCTTATCTCACTTAGCATAATGTCCTGGGGGTCCATCCACATTGTACCATATGATAGGATTCCTTTTTTTTTTTTAAGGCTGCATGATATTCCATTGTATGTATATATCACATTTTGTTTATTTGCTTATCTGTCAATGGACCCTTGGGTTGCTTTCTCATATGGCTATTGTGAATAATGCTGCAATGCATGGGAGTACAAATATGTCTTCAAGATCTTTTTTTGAATTTCTTTGGATGTATACTCAGAGGTGGGATTGCTAGGTCATAGGGTAGTTCTATTTTTAATTTTTTGAGGAACTTCCATATTGTTTTCCCCAGTGGCTACACCAGTTTACAATCCCACCAACAGTGTATAAAAGTTCCAATGTCTCTACATCCTCTCTAACACTCGTTGTTTTCTGCTCTTTTGATAGTGGCCATCCTAATAAGTGGGTTGCTCTTTTCTGGAGATCTTTGTAGGAGTGGTTCAGCCCTCACATAGGATTTGACTTTGTCCTGAATTTTCTCCTTATAAGTGAACTTATCTTTTTGTCTGCCTACATCCTCAAAATTATTTCTTTATTTTTTAAGTTCAATAACCTTCACTAGTCTATGTCCTAGAGCTGATTTTTCTTTGTCTTTATTTCCTGGAACCCAGTGTGCTTTCAATCCACAGATGCAAAGCTTCTTTTATTTCTGGAAAGTTGTCTTGAATTATAACTTTAAATAATCTTCCTGGGTTTTATTTCTAGTTACCTTCTTCGGGCACTTATGTGTATTTTTGTCCATCTTCCTTATCTATCTTTTTCTTCCTAATCCTCACTTTAAACATTTGTGTGTCCTTCTTCTCACTCTCTCCTCCTGTCTTCAGTGATCTTCACTGTGCTTTTAGTATAGTAGTGCTTGTTCCTCTGCTGTTTCCAATTCTGTTTTCGTTTCTGGTCCACGTTTATCTCTTTTCTTCCGTTTCTTTCTCGAGCTTTGCCAATTCACATCTCATCCTTTTCAGTTGTCTCAGCATCTGATTTCTGAGCTCTTGCTCCTGCTCTACTCTTCAATAAGGTTTTGGAAGCCATGGTGAAATACTTGGCCACAACTTTCCACTGTTGCATGGCAGTTTTGTTGGTTGGTTGGTTGGTTTTTCCCTGGTGAGAATAATTCACCTCCTCCTTTCCTCATTTTGGATTTCAGTATCTTTGTATGTAGACCTGTGCTGATTCCTTTTGGATTACTCCTCTTTGAATGGCGTGAGCTTTCTTGGATCAGAAGGAAGTTCATGTGGGTCAATGCCATGTTGCAGGCTAGCAGAAACCTAGTGAGAGTTTGGTCTTTGCTTCTCCCCACCCAAAGGGTTTGGGTGCTATAGAGCTATTCACAGGGCAAAGACTTTTTCCAACTCACAGTGGGACTGTTTTCCTACAAATATGGCTTGTCTGTTTCCTAGAACCAAGCAAGGCCAGGGAATCTTCCCCTGCTACCTCCCACCTCCCACTACCATCCTGGCAAGAGCAAGAGAGGGCAGGGAAGGAGGGAAGGAAGAAGAAGGAGAAGGAAAGATGAAGAGGAGCAGGAGGAAGGGGTGTGCGGGAGAGCGCACCCCAGCCACCTTGGGAGGTCCTGGTTGGAAGCGACAGCCGCCAGGAGAGGGTAAGTCTTGAGCAGGAAGGGGAATGTGGAGCAGGCATCTGACCACTGTCTTCTCTCTGCTCTCCAGGGTGACCATGTGTGGCTGAGCCCCCTCTCTGCCAACAAGACCGCTGTGGCCATCGGGTGCATTGTCAAGGAAACAAAGCCTGGCAAGATCTTGGTTGAAGATGATGAGGGCAAGGTCAGTGTGGCCAGGCTGTCTAGGGGCTCAGGGCCCACTCCTATCCCCATCCCTCCAGGGCCCTGAGCCCCTCTCCTCTTCTGGTGCTGCTCCCCAACACCAGGGGTTCCAGGGCCCAAGTGGGGGGATTCTACCTGGCAGGACAGACCACAGTGGGGTCTTGTCATGGTAAACATCATGGGTCTGTCTTGGGGAGTGTTTCTATAATCAAAGAGCAGGGAGCAAGTTGGTAGTTGGAAAACTTGGCCAATTAGGGGAGCAGGAAGGAGTGAAGTGAGGAAGGGTCTGTGGCAGAGAGGAGAGGGCGGCAGAAAGCGGGTTTGCAAAGTAAAGAGGGTGAGCTGGAAGGACAAAAAGGAGAAATGGAAAGGTGTTCGAGAAGGATACATGGCGAAGAGGCCCCAGAATGTGAGGAGGAAGGGGATGAGGCTCAGCTCATGCTGAACAAAACAGCCCAGGTGAGAGAGAAGTGGGAAGCTGTGGTGGCCTGCAGGGCTGCAGCTCAGCCTCCTGGGGTTGGGGGAGCAAGCCCGGCCAAGCACAGTGCCCTGGGGAAGGGCATGCAGTGTGAGGGGTCCAGCTGGTCCCTTTAGTCCTCCTCATGCTGACCGCTTTGCTGAGGTGCTACAGCAGGGGGCATGTGGAAATTTGGCCTCGAGGGAGAAGATTCTAGGCTGTGACCTGTGAGCTCCATATTAGGGAAGCCAGGAAAAGATGAACAATAATATCTTCTATTTGCAAAATGATGTTTTATAGTTTAAAAAGCACTTTTACTTGCATGCTCTTATTCTAACAATCTGTGAGGCCCCCAGCTGCAAACTGTCCCTGATCCTAATCACAGCCAAATCTGACTTCTGGCTACAAGTTCCTCTGACCCCGGTCTGAAACGTGCCATTAGCCCTAGCTATACACTGACCCGTGGCTCTGGACACATTCTTTCTCCGACCCCAATCTGCCCTGATCCTGCCTCAGGTTTCCCTTGACCTCTGCCAGAGACTAGTCAAGCCACCAGGTCAGCTGATCTGCTGGGAACTTGGAGAAGAGGAGCAGCGGGTTGGCTGCCCTTCAGGGGAGTCTGTGTCCTTTGTTCCAGGAACACTGGATCCGAGCAGAGGACCTTGACACCCTCAGCCCCATGCACCCCAACTCGGTGCAAGGCGTGGACGACATGATCCGCCTGGGGGAGCTGAACGAGGCAGGCATGGTGCACAACCTCCTGATCCGCTATCAGAAGCACAAGATCTATGTGAGTCCCCCATTCCCACCCCCCAGCCAGGGGGTTCGGTCCACAGGCACTGACCTCCTGGCTGGGGGGGCGGGAAAAAAACAGGCACTGTGGGTTTGAAGCCAGGCACAGCTGGTTCAGTCCCCACTGCCCATGCCCTACATGAGGTGGGCAAGGAACAAGGAACTTAACGCTTCTCCATCTCTGCTCCCTGATCCAAAATGAGTAGGGTGATAATACTTTTGAGGTCTCAGAAAGCTGATGTGTAGCATGCCAGCACAGTGCCTGGCACACAGTAGGTGCTCAATTAGTACTGTGGCTCAGTGGAAGGCCTGCTCGGATGGCCAAATGGACCGGAGGCTGTGGGGGTAGGCATTGTCTGCCTGGCCCCTTCCTAGGCATGTGGCAGAGACAGAGTCACCAGGCAGAAGACCCCTGTCCCCCTGTGAAATGAGTCTTGTGATGGCCAGAAGGGCTGTGTGGGTAGATGTGGGTCCTTCTCCCAAAGCCTGGCAGTGGATGGGAGGTTCACCCCAGCCCTAAGGCTCGCATCCCTGTTCCAGTGCAGATATTCCCAGGAGAGGCAGCATTCAAAACTGACACCAGCCCTGCCTTAACTGGGTGTGGCCTAGGAAGTCACTGCCTGCCTGGGGCCTCTCCTGGAGAGAGGTGGCTGGGGTGGCTCTGGGCAGCCTTTCTAGAATGATCAGAGCAGTGGGAGAATGAACAGCGGACCCCAAAGAGAGGGGAGGGCTGGTCAGGAGAGTGAGGAGGCCCTGCAGGAGAGAAGGGACAGGGCACGCTGAGTCCACTCTGCCTGAATGTGAGTCAGAGCTCCTGGGACTGATAACGCCAATAAGCTAAAATGAGCTTATCCTTTATCCTTTCCGAAGAGCTTATGCTTGCATTCTTTTATCTGGTTGTCACAGTCCTTGGAGTCAGAGAGATTGAACTCTCCATTCTTAAAATGAAAACTAGGATGTGGATAATCATGTGACTTGATGAGGTGGCTATCCCTGTCTCACCCCCAGAGGGGCAGTCGGGCACCTCGGGGGCTCCAGATGAGCAGGTGGTCCTGACCGGGGATCCTAGGAGGGATCAGTGGAGGCTACCGTTGTTGGCCAGCCTCACGGAGGCCCCTGTGGGAGGCAGGTGAAGACTCATAAAGTCAGCCTATTTTTATTGAGCCTTCTAAATACCAGACAGAATGTTAAACATTTAACATAGAGCACCTCATTTAATCTTTGCCCCCAGCTCTCATTCATAGTGAACACCCCCATCTTTCCAAAGGGAGGATCTGAGCAGCTGAGCGTCTTGTCTCCCTGGCCCAGAATCAGACCCCACTTCCCCGCCAGGTTCAGCCAGGCCTGGTAGCCCTCAGTGGGTTGCACCCCAGGCCAAGGTCAGGCCCGGGCAGTGTGGGCCTTCAGAGCAGAGGGCACTAACCATCTGCTCCCGTCCCCAGACCTACACAGGCTCCATCCTGGTGGCCGTAAACCCATTCCAGGTGCTGCCCCTCTACACCCCGGAGCAGGCGCAGCTGTATTACAATCGCCACATGGGCGAACTCCCCCCACACGTCTTTGCCATTGCCAACAACTGCTACTTCAACATGAAGAGGAACAGAAGGGACCAGTGCTGCATTATCAGGTGGGGGTCAGGCTCCCCACATTCCTGGGGGGGTCAGATGGGCCGGGCATGGCCCTGAACGTCTAGCAAAGCAGGGAGCACCTCCTCTCCCTAAACCTCTCCCAACGAGCCCCCGGTTGGCCTGTTTTATTTAGGGGCTCCCCTTCAGCGGCAAATATCCCAGCTGGCTGCCCCTGGCCCCTACTGCCTCTCCAGCCTGACAAGTCCCTCCAGGGCTTCCTTCTTGCAGAACCTGCTCTTCCACTGTATTAGCAGAGCCTGGACTGCCCTGCCCTCAGTGAATATTTCCTGAGACAAGGAAGGAAAAATGGGATAGGCACATTGAATGGCACCCAGAATAGATGCTAGGGGGCTCAGGGGTCAAATAGGAGAGGTCTCACTAAAAAAAAAAAAAAAAAAGAAAAAAATCTCTGGGCAGGCCTCAGGTGAGGACAGGGGTAGCAGCAGGTCCAGGGGCCAGCTCTCAGGTTGCTGGGGCCCAGGAGGGACATGTCCTCCTCCAGTCCAGATCCTGACCCTGCTTCAAAGACCCCCTGCCTGGCCTGGCCTGGCCTCCCTGCTTCCTGCACAGGCCCTCCTGGTAAGGAAGGAAGGGAGGGAGAGGGAAAGGAAGGAGGAGGTGGAATTTGCCTCCAGGGCACATTGCTTGGAGCTATAGTAGAGTCGTTCATTCATTCCTTCATTCATTCATTCACTCATTTGAGGTCCCACAGTGCTCCAGTTGTACGCCCTGCATTGTACTACCGTGGGGAGACAGCAGCAAATGAAAGGGACTAAAATCCCTGCCTCGTGGAGCTTACATTCTAGAAGGGGAGACACAGAGGCGATAAATAAGCCAATTTTTCAGGCAGGTAATGAAAGCTTTGAAGAACAGCACTGCAGGGCAAGAGGAAAGACCATGATGGGGCTGCTGCTGTAGGTGGAGGGCAGACGAAGCATGGCCTCTCTGCACGGGATGATGACACGGAGACCAGAATGAACTCCTATAGCATAGATGATCACATTTACTGTTCTCAGCAACCCTCTGAAGTAGATACTCTTATTCCTGTTTTACTGTTGCGGGCGGCGTGGTACTTAGCACCACGGAGGCTGAGATCCTTTCCCAGACACACAGCTGTTAAGTAGGGAATTCAAATCCAGGGCACTGGAAAGAAGACCAAGAGGTGTCCTGGGGTGACTTCCACTTCTTGGGAAGTGAATGGAGTTATACGCCAAGGAGGGCTGGTGCTCTGTCTCCCTCCCGGGCTCTGCCTCTCCACTCCATGTGCTCCCAATGTGCCCCGCCACCCACCCCCCCACCCCAGGAATGGGAGGACCAGCCTCACTGCAAGAGGCCTCCAGAGCAGAGCTGGGCCCCAGGCTGGCCTGGAAGCTCACCGGGCCAGCCTTCACCTCCAGGACAGCAGTGGCTCAAGAAGAGGGCAGAGCACCCTGATCTGTGGCTTTTTGCATGAATAGAACATCACTCTGAGTCAAACTGCCTTCTCTTCCTGCCCTCGCCTCCCCCAAGGCCATAAGAAAAGCCATAAGCAAGTCACCTCCGTTCTGCCCACAGGATCCTGTCTCTACCTCGGAGGGTTGTTTGGGGAACTTATGTTCGAGGCAGGCAGTGGAGGTTTGTTGATTGGACTGACTTGGCTGGCATAGTAATTGTGAACATTTTTGATCAAAACTTTTCTTAAAATGAATACTGTCAGATGAAACAGTATTTGTCTGGGATTTGCTTCAAAATAGTACAGGATGGGAAACAAAATGGGCCAGGAGTTGAAGCTGGAAATGGGACTGTGGGAGCTCATAACGCAAACCGTAAGGTGCAGGAATCTCCTGGGGATCTTGTGAAAATGCAGATTCTGACTGAGCAGAGCTGGGTAGGCCTAGGAGTCTGCATTTCTAACCAGGTGACAGGCATTGCTTTTATTAGCAAGACACTATTCAGCCTCCATTTGTAATGTTTGACATCTCCCATAATGAAAAATAATTTACCCAAAAGTGACATGCAAGCCTCAATAATAATACAGTAATCACTACAAACCCGAGTGTGTGCGATATGCCAGACACGAGTATATTTTTAACTTCATTAAACTCCCTAAGGAACTTCTAAAAACTAGTTTTCATACCTCACCATTATGAAATTAATATATCTTCAATATGAAAATTTTATAAAATTTCAGAAAAATATTCTCAGAAAAAATTCCTAGATACTTTTGGAAGAAAAAGCTTCCCCTATCCACTTAGTTAAAATTCTACTGAATAGTAAGGACATTTGTCACTTTACTGTGCTTAATAAGCATTGTCCATGTAATTGAGAGCTCTGTATAGACTTGGTTCTAATGGCTGCATGATGTTCTCTGACCGGAGGGACCATAACTAATCGTCCCCCTTTATGTTACTTCTGATTTTCCTCAATTGTTGGTTGTTTTTAAGATTTTATTTTTTTTTACATAATTTCTACACCCAACGTGGGTCTCAAACCTACAACCCGGAGTCGCAGTCTCCCCTCTGGCCCGCATAAACTCACGGCTCATAAAGAGGATGTTACATCAAAATATTGCATCGTCTGGTCCTGTTCATTCATCTGTAGTTACTGAGCCCTGGGCCCGTGACACTGGAATAAACCAGATACAACCACGCTCAAGGGGCTCACATCCAAGGCAGGGCAGAAAAGGGGAACACAGCAATAACTAATACGGTGTATTAGTTAGTAATGCGGTGGGATTTGTGCACAGGGAGGGGGAGTTCCCATTCAGACCTGAAAGCGGGCCTGTGGGGGGTTTGCAGAATAGCCTAGGGTATTGAAGACATGGCTGTTTGACAGACTGACGCCCTGAGGGTCCTCTTTGCAGTGGGGAGTCTGGGGCAGGGAAGACGGAGACCACCAAGCTCATCCTGCAGTTCCTGGCCACCGTCAGCGGCCAGCATTCGTGGATTGAGCAGCAGGTCCTGGAGGCCAATCCCATCCTGGAAGGTGAGTGGTCACCCTCAGGAGCAGCCCCTCCCCTGGCCCTCCAGGGCTGGAACCTTCCTACCAGGAGGTGCCCATGGGGAGGGAGAGGATCGTACCCTTTCTGCGACTTCTCGGATCCCTCAGGACAGGAAAAACCAGCACGGGGTGGATGGTAGTGTGGGGGTTCCCAGGAAGCACGAAGGGACAAAACTGATGACCCTACAAGCTTTCACTAAGTGTGTTTTCCACAGGATCAAGACAAGTATTCCTTTTAAATAAGGACCCTGAGATGAAATTGGTTTGGGAAATGCTGGGTGTGTCCACTTGGGTCACCTGTGAGGCAGTTGATAAGCTGGTGTTAAGACTGCAAAAGGTTGGCTGAAGGGTACCCCTGAGCAAGACGAAGGGGGAAGTGGCAGGAACAAGCAGGAAAAGCATCCTGACTGGGGTACCTGTAGGACACTCAGGAAAGGGAAGAGTGGAATTGGCAGGATGAGGTTCAAGCTGTGTGCAGATCTGTCGGGGTCTTGGCTAGCCCAAGGGGGAGCTCAGAGCAGAGTGCCCATTAAAGGAGGCCTGCATTGGGTGCAATGCCAGGCCCGTGCCCCCTCGCTCAGTCTCTGGTGGGGGCAGCCCAGAAATGTGTGACTTGGACCCCCAGTGACCAGCCACGGTCAGCGCGTTTTCTCTGTTTCTTTATAACACAGGTATGCTTTACATACAGTACAAGTTCACCTTTTTCAATATACAGTATGAGTTTTGACAAACTCATACAGTCATAGAATGCCCATCTTAGTCATGTATGGAATGTTCCTATCAGCCCCAAACTTCCCTTCCCTTGTAGTCAATTCTCTTCCCAACCCCAACCTTTGGCAACCACTGATTTGTCTATTTTCCCCTCGATACAGCTAACCCTTGAGCAATGGTTTGAATTGTGCAGGTCCACTTACATGTAGACTTTTTTTGATAAATTCTTTTCTCTAGATTACTTTATTGTGGGAAGACAGTACACGATACATACAACATACAAAATGTGTTGACTATGTTATCAGTAAGGCTTCCAGTCAACAGTGGGCTATCAGTAGTTAAGTTCTGAGGAGTCAAAAGTTATACACAGGTTTTCAACTGCACGGGGAGTTAGCACCCTTAACCCCCACATTGTTCAAGGGTCAAGTGTAGTTTTATCTTTTCCAGAAGGTTATATAAATGAAATCATATGGTGTGCCGTCTTTTGGGTCTGCCTACTTTTGTTAGCATAATGCATCTGGGATTTTTCATGCTGTTGTCTGCATCAATAATTCATTCCTTTTATAGACGTAGAAGTGTCACAGTTTGTCTATTCACCAGCTGAAGGACACCCGGGTTGTTTATAGTTTTTAGTGATTATGAATAAAGCTTTACAGACAGTTGCGTACAGGTTTTGGTGTGAACATGTGTTTTTCTCCTGAATAAACATGTTAGGCATGAAATTTTGGGTCAGATGGTGAGCCATTTACCTTTGTCACAAACTGTCAAAATGTTTCCCAAAGTGGCTGTACCATCTTGCAGCAAAATATGAGAGTCCTGGTCGCTCCACGTCTTCACCAGCACTTGGTACTGCCAGGGTGTTGGTTTGCTACCGCAGGGGGCGCAGAGTGGTGTCTCACCATAGCCTTAATTCAAGTTTCCCTAACAGCTAATGGCATCTTTTCATGGGCTTATTTCCTATCTGTGTATCTTCTCTGTGTCTATTCAAACCTTTTGCCCATTTTTAAATTGAGTTGATTCCTTATTAATGATTTATGAGTTCTTTATATCTTCTGGATACAAGCCCCTCATAAGATATGTGTTTTGCAAATATTTTGCAGTTTGTCCCTTCATTCTTTCAAAAGGGTCTTTTATAGGCCAGAAGTTTTTGATTTCCATAAAGTTCAATTTATTTTTGTTTCTGTTATTGATCATGCCTTTGGTGTCGTATTTAAGAAATCTTTGGGGCACCTGGGTGGCTCAGTCGGTTAAGCATTCAGCTCTTGATTTTGGCTCAGGTCATGATCTCAGGGTCGTGAGATCGAACTCCGTGTCCCGCTCCGCTAAATTCTCTCTCTCCCTCTGCCCCTCCCCCTTCCCTCTCTAAAAAAAAAAAGAAAGAAAAAGAAAGAAATCTTTGCCTAATCCAGAGATTTTCTTTTATGTTTTCTTCTAGATGTGGTGCAGTTTTAGCTTTTACATTTAGGTCCGTGATCTATTTTGTGTTGATTTTTTCTACGGTGCAAGGTATAAGTCGAGTTTCTGCTTTTTTCTCATTTTTTCCCTTCCCTTTCTTTTCTTCTTTTCTTTCAGAAGGCTATCCAATAATTTCAGCCCCATTTGTCAAAAAGACTATTCTTTCTCCATTGAGTGGCCTTTGCACCTTTGTCTAAAATCAGTTGGCCATCCATGTGTGGGTCTGTTTCTGGATTCTCTATTCTGTTCTGTTGCTCTCTGAATACCCTTCTGCCAATGCCACACTGTCTGGATTTCTGTAGCTTAGTTCTATAGCTTAGTCAGTTTTTCAATCACGACCCCCAGTTTTGTTCTTCCTTTTCAAAATTGGCCATTGTAGGTGCTTTACCTTTCCATATACATTTCAGAATCAGCTTGCCGATTTCTACCCAAAGGGGCCTACGTCAGGCTCTTTCTTGAAGAGAGATCTGCCACTGGGTTCAACAATATGAAGTAGGTTTCCCAAGCATAGCTAGCCCCTATAGGAGCCTCTGCTGTCTGTCAGGATACCTCAAGGCGGACACCAAGGAACACTTTTCCTTTTCTCATGGGACTAATGCTGTATGGTGGTATTGTCAACCTGCATCCCAACCCACCACTGGGTCATGAAATCAGTCTTTTAGGACAAATTAAATTGCATAGAATAGAAAATACCCCAGTGCATCGTTCTTGGTCAGAACCAGTACTGAATATTTTCTTTTACTAATGTGTGCAGGTGGGGGTATGTATGCAGTAAGACGCAATGCAAAGGGTCTTTCTTATTGTGGCTCAAATCAGCTTGCAGAAACAGCTCTATGAAATGCACTTTGGATCATGCTGCAATCCAGATGCCTTCTGCTCTGACCTCCTCCTCTGAGCCTAGTCCCTGCCAGCTGTTGCTATTCTCCCTGCAAGCTTGCCCTCTCAAAGCCAGCCCCAGCTTCAGCCTGAGCAATCTTTCTAAAATACAAATCTGTTCCCACACTCCCTCAGAAGCTTTCCTGCCTCCCCCATCACCCACAGACTAATTCTAAACTTCTTAGCCTGGCATTCAAGGCTCTATGCTACTAACTAGTTCCATCTATCTTCCACTGCTTTCCTCCTGTATTTTATGCTCCAGCCAAACGTCCCCCCTGCAAATACACCCCATGCTTACTGACATCTGCGCCTTTACTTGCACTTTGTCTTCCTCTCGGCATACTCTTGGCTGTCATCACTTTCTAGTGCAATGCTACCCATCCTTCAACTCTGGGCTCAGCCACCTCCTCTCAGAAGCCTTCCCAGATGATCCCACTCAAAGTAAATCTTCTCTTCTCTGCTCCATCATGGGCATCACCTTCTGGCCCTCAGCCTTCGGAAATGCCAAGACAATCCGAAATGATAACTCAAGCCGCTTTGGGAAGTATATTGACATCCACTTCAACCCCAGTGGGGTGATCGAGGGTGCACGCATCGAGCAATTTCTGCTGGAGAAGTCCCGGGTCTGCCGGCAGGTGAGGCCTCCCTCTGCTGCACTGGTCCTGGGGAAACCTCCACCCATCCCGGGACCGGGAGCCAGGGAATGAAGAGGCTTCCAAGAGAGGCTCCCTCCCATCACTCTCACACCTCCCCAGGGACCTCCCCAAACCTCCATTGGTCTTAGTTTGCTGCCACTGAACCCTGGCCTTACCCTGAGATGGCCAAGGATCCCTAGAATGGGATAATGATGGTCCTTTCCCAGTATTCAAGAAAAAGAAATGATGACATTTTCTGTTTTGAATTTTCCATCCATATCATGTTCTACATTCTTTGGTGCTTACTACCCACCTCTACCAGAATTAATTTTAAGGCCAGGACAGTCACCAGCTAAGGAACTGGATCCTGGCATCACTCGCAGCTTGCAACTTAGGCAAGATGTCTTCAGGGCTGGGAAGAGCAGTGGAGATGCAGGGAAGCGCCTGGGAGCCATGTGTTTGCTGGGCTTGGTGGGTGGCCTCTAGCACAGGACTGTGGGCATGAGCTGGCCTTGGAGGCCCAGAATGAGGACATCCACAGAGCCAAACGACCCTTGGGTCAATGCCAGAGCCACATCTGGTTGACAGACCTTGGAGCAGAAGCTGGGACAGTGCTGGGGGGG